AGTGCAGTTGGTAGAAAACGTACATCAGTTCTCCTCTCCAATACTCCATGTCTTCATGTAGGACGTCAGGATATTCAGACATCTTCACCAGCTTGCTGATATGACCAGGTGAGATGTGAGAGGATAGGACTGCCAGATTTACCAAATAAAAATTCAGGATGCCCACTTAATGTGAATCTCAGGTAAACCATGAGTGATATTGAATGGGACATACTCAGACTGAAAAAATTATCCATGGTTTACCTGAAATTCACATCTAAGTGAGTATCCTGTATTTAATCTGTCATCCTAGAATATAAACATGCTTATTGTTCTACTAAGATGTGACAAATATGTTATCCATGGTATTATATTTAATGATCTTTTTTTGTAAGTACAATTATTTGTGTTTTTCAAATGACTGCTGTTGGCTTTGATCATCCGGAAGTCTTGGAGGAGCTGTGTCTCCACCGTGAGTGGCTGTAGTTTGTAGCTTCAGAGGTAAACTATAAATTCATGATGCTCACGTTTGCGTTTATTATGTCGGTAGCCTTGTGCGTCCCTCTGTCAGCTCTGTGCTGGCTCCGCATCATGCTCTCCTCTCTTCCTGGGGAGGTGAGCGGCAGCCACACAAAGTGCCATTCTTTTCTTTCCTTATTAATTTCAGAGTGTTTGTGGATAATTAAGAAGGTTTTTTTTTTTTTTCCCTGAGAGGTTTTTGCTATACATCATGCACACTCTCCAGAAAGACAGAGAGAGAGACAAAGAGATAGAAAGTGAGAAATCACCCCCCAGGGGGAATGGCCCACGCCGCAATCCCTTCTCCTCCATTCTCCTCTTGGGATCTTGGACATACATGCACATGTACCTGGCATGAGTTTAAGCCAGCGGGTCGAGGACTCAAACCACAGTTGACTAGGTGAGAGTCCAGCGACATAGCCATTACACTAACTGCTGGCCCCAAGAAGTTTTTTTTTGTTTTGTTTTGTTTCAGGTTTTGCCATTGGGCACTTGCGTTCGCTGGACAGGAGAGAGACAGAGAGACATAAGAGAAGGAAAGTGAGAAATCACCCCCTCCCCCCCACAGAGGGACAGCTTTGCTACTCTCCTTTCTTCTCCATCCTTCTCTCTGGATTTTGGGTACACAAACACACACACACAGACTGATTTTCAAGCCACTGGGTATGGGACTAGAACTGTGGTTGGTCATGTGGGAATCCAGCGCCTTAACCACCACATCACCTGCTGGCTTCAGAAACGTTGTGTGGATTTCTAGCATGTATTTTTTTTCCTGCAACTGACTTTGACTAGAGCATTAAACTTCAGATGCACAGGAGATGTATATGATTTTACTTTTTATGGCCAATTTTCAGAGTTAACATTTTATCAAATAAGACAATTACAATCATTTGTACATTGGGAAACATACTTCTTGTTTCACTCTCACACTGACTTATATGTAGCTCTTGTTAGTGGTCAAAATGGGGAAAATATGATCAGATTCTTTCATAAATATGGGAGAAATGGTAGCATTCCCATTCTGAGCTTGCCTGCATCCCTGCCTCCCTGCCCCTCCCCCCAGTTGCTCAGTCTTGCACCCAGCACATGTTTATGAAGCACCAAGTCTCTGCAGGCAGCAGCAATAGCAACCTTGCCTGTGACAGAAGACAAACTGACATAATGACCTCCCGCGCGGAGCTCAGATCAAGCGGAGAAACCACAAACCAAGTGAATTGGTAATTAAAGCCATGGTAACTGTTGTAAAGTGAACACAACAAAACATAAAGCGCTCTCAGGGGCTGACCAGGGTTCAGCTGTTGTGTTTTCTCATACTGAATAGACGCTTGGTATGTTGGGTCTCTCCAGTGGGCTGGGCTCTGTTTTCCCACCACAGGAAGAAAATGGCATTGTCCTTTGTCACCTCAGGCAAAGGAACCGCCTGTGTGGGGTCTGGGGCAATCACAGGCTCTAGGTGCTTCCTGGAAGCAGTGTCCAGAGCACAGTGAGGCAGAGTTGAGGGTGGAGCCTGAAGTTAGGAGGGGTTGGTCCAGCGTGGCCCATGGATATGACACAGCCCATGCGGTGGCCTTACCCAGAGGGTCCTGGCAGAGAGGGGATCGTCATGTGTGTCTTAGTGCTGAGGAAGCCCAGATGAAGTGTTCTCAGCGTGGATAACAGAAGTGTGAGCTTCAAGGAGGGTAAGGAAGAGGTAAGCAGGGGTGAGGAGGAAGGCGGGGTTTGGTAGGACTTGGGGTGTCATCCTGTGCCTTACGGTTCATGGTTCTCTGTTCTTGAGATGGCGTGCAGGTGGTAAGACAGCTGGTGGGCAGCATGGGTCTCATGGTAAGGCCGGTGGAGCTTTGGTATCTGCCCCTGATGCCTGACCACAGAGACAGGGAGGCTCTGGGCAGTGAGACTCAGGTGTGAGGACAGATGTGGTTGTTATTGTCCCCAGCAAGGGGGGCATGGGAAGAAGACGGTGGTGGAGAGGGAGGAGAGCCCTGAGCAAAGACAAGGGGCAGAAAAGGCTGCAGGGAAACAGGAAGGCTCCCCTCAGCTGACCCGAGGCCCCCAGGGGAGGGGGGTGTCAGGGAAGGGGCTTGACATGAGACCAGAAGCTTCAGAGAGGGGAGCCCTGGGGTGTCAGCCAGTGGGCAAACCTCACTGAGCTCCTGCCTCTGGAATGCTGAGCTCTGTGGGTTTGTTAGCCCCATCAGATGGAAAGCTCAGACACAAGAAGGGCAGCAATACGCATTGGACATTTTTGATCAATGATGGCTAATTCTTTTATGTCAAATTATTGAAGATCTTTCAAAATATGATTCTTGCTGCAATTGCCTAAGAATCTGAAATTTGTTATGAACATATTGACATTTGGACTGTTATTAATTTGGGCAGATTTCTCAGAGGGATAATCCATCAACAAAATAAATAATAAACAGTGGGGAGTCTTTGTTAAACCACTGAATAGGATTCAGTTCTGCTGCCTGTGCTTCTCATGCCGGGCTGGGCTGGTGGGACACGCGGCGTGATGACAGTCAGAATGGTGATTCTCCAGCTGGGCTCCCACCTGCTCCCTCTACCTCAATGGCTACAAAAAGATCCTTTTCAGCCTTCATCTCAGGGCCTCTCACTTAACCTCAAATGCGAGCCTTGCAGCCACCAGCTCCCCTCCTGACTGTCTCTGTGGACGTCTCATTATTGTGATATCCCGAAGGGCGGCCAGGGGTTTGCTTGCCATTGCTCCACAGAAAGGAGGACGCCCCCCATCTGCTGGTGCCCATGTGACCTCCTCTCAGGGTCTTGTGGCTGAGACATCTGTGCTGAAATTCACTTCCCTCAAGCTTCTGTCTTATCCCTGTCACTGCCTTGGTGCTGTGGAAGTTTACTGACGCTTTGCACTCTCCCAGGCAGAAAGAGCCCCAAAATATTGTAGTCAGAGCCAGACAGTGGCTTGACTGACCATCTGCGGTGCTGGACACACATGGGAGGGTCCTGGGTTCTCACCCTGAGGCCTCCCTGCACGTGCTGGGCTCCCACATGTGTGCTCTCGATCCTGCTTGGCTTGGGCTGAGAGTGGATTGTAGCATGCAGACCTTGCTGGGGGTATAGTCTCTCTTTTTCATGGAAGAAATAACTTAAAACAAAAGCATATGAACTGTGGGTTCCAAGTCAAAATTAAGTTGAACTGTAGAATAAAGGTCTCGTATTTCTTATTTAACTGGCCATCACCTTCCTCTGGCTAACCCCTTCCCCCGTCTTTCTCCTGTAGCTGGCTCGCTCTCCTGTGAACGCTGACACACACTCTGCCGACCCAAGCAGACACTGCTTGTAATCATGCTCAGCACATGCATGGCCTTTATAAAAGTGACATGTTTAACCAGCTAGTTTCACATGGATGAAGCAAGTTTCCTAACACAGCACGTGTGACGATTCAGTCGGTTCGTAATAAATGTTCCTTGAGATGCCTCACATGTACATGTTTTAATAAATCCAGGCTAGATGTTTTTCTCTTTAAATGTAAATAGCCTCCATCTATAAGGACTTTAACAGAGGTAGAAAAATATAAAGTATTTTCGGAAGTCTTTTGTGCTTAATGGATCGATAGGCAGTCTTGAATTCAAAGGTTCTTTTTCTTACTTCTGGTTTTAGAGTAACTTTGTAGCCTCATTTCCATATTTGCAAGATAGCATCGTGATATTTGAAACCCAGTATCATGGGATTTATCCAGTTGGAGCCTTCAGCTCCAGGCTCTGGACTTGCAGGCCACAGCTGTGGGGACTGCTCCCCAGGTCACCACAAGAGCAAGTCTGTGCCCCAGTAGATGCTGGCTGCACTGCACCCCTCACCGCATGCCGAGTGAACCCCGCTCTGCACCCTTCACAACCTGTCTGGGAAGTCCGAGTGGTCCAGGCGACCCTCATCCTCAGGCAGCTTATATGTAAGTGCACCACACCCAAATGCCTGGTGAGCACAAAACCTGAGCAGGGTGGGCTTCAACTGGGTCAGAAAAGGGTGTTCAAGAGCACAGAAAAGAACTAGGAGATTTGAGACCAAGGAAAGCACCCCAAGGAGCAAGCACTAGAGAGAAAGAGGATGGAGATAATACAGGTAGAGGAGGAAGAGCAATGGAGGAGGATGGCCCTGAGGCAGGAAGGGGTGTGTCATCTCTCTGCTGTTCTGTGGATGTGGGTCGCCTTTCACATTAGTCTCCATGTTGGTGCCACCTCCGACTGACTGCTGACATCCTTGGCAGGGGCGCACCGCTGGCTACCGCTGCAAGGCCAGATGTGCTCTCTTCCCTAGGCTTGCAATGGGCAGTCAGGCGAGTCGTTCTCATCCCAGACTGCATGAGAGCATCCCAGGGTAGGCTGACACTCCGTGCCTGGGTCCCCACCCAGAGCGACTGATTGGTCTTCGTGTCTGGAGCACCATGGTTGTGTTCTCTGCTTAACCCAGGAGGGGCTCATGGGACCACCTGGACTTACTTACCTTCCCCTGTCCCCTCATTGCCTTCCCAGATTACGGAACGATTAAGAAAGTGCGGGCACCCCTGAATCAGACCTCGGGCAGCTGTTTGCTGGAAGAGATCGAGCTCTTCCCCGAGAGGCAGAGGGAGCCCATCAGGAGCCTGCGGATCCTGCACAGCCAGAGCGTCCTGTTCGTGGGTCTGCGGGAGCATGTGGTCAAGATTCCCCTGAAGAGGTGCCAGTTCCACCGCACACGCAGGTAGGCTGTCCCCAGGGCCGGGGTGCACGGGTGTGTGAGCAGGGCCCACTCAGTGAGGGAGGACGCAGGGGCTTCCACATGCACTCAGGAACTTCATGGCTATGTGAGCCCTTCATCCCAGGGTGCAGAATTTCCATGCAGACTGATTTACTGTGCTGAGAATAAACTTGCACTTATCCAGAGAATCACAGCTGCAAAATTCGTAAGCTGCTGTCAGGGTGAAAATACACTCTTTGGTGCATTATAACACTAGGTGTTAGTGCTGGCATGCATTGCTCCTGCGTTGGTCTGTTAATCCCACCCGAGTTCACTTGTTTTCAAAGCAATTTTTGCTATAGGGTGCATGTACTTTCCAGAGAGACAGAGACAGAAAGTGAGAAATCACCCTCCGTGGCCATGCCACGGTCCCTTTTCCTTCATTCTCCTCTCAGGATTTTGGGCATGTATGCACACGTGCCCGATGTGTTTTAAGTCATTGGATTCAGGATCCATGGGAGTCCAGCAATGTAACCATTATGCCATGTACTGGTCCCACAAGTTCATGTTTTATTTGGATATTTATGTAATGGGGGAAGCTAGCAACTTCCTATGCTAGTGCTCTTTGACTGACAACCCCCTGAGAAGGAGTAGCCATGGAGATGTTGCAGCACCCCCTTTTTGGGGCACCTGCAAGGTGTCCTGGGCAGCACCTCTCAGGGGATGCTCCTCCCTCCTGAGACCCCAATGTCATAAAGACCTGCAGCCTGGAGGTGGGAAGAAGGAGCCTACTGTACTACTGCTCCTGTCCTTGGGTCTTGGCCAGCCCACTGCTGTCGCCAGTGACGCCTGAAGTGGAACTGAGAAGCAGGCGGCCCCAGTACAGTGTGCAGTGTGTGGTGTGTGGTGTGTATACTACACTTGCACTTTGCATCGGGAATTGCACATATATGAAGGGACTTGAAAAACTTAGTAGAAAATGGAATTAAAGTGAAAATTTATTTTGGTACAGTTTTGACATTCATACATAATTTTTTACATGATACACATTTCCCATGAACTTCTTAAAGACCCCTTGTATACTCTAACTTGAGACCAAAGATTGTCTTATGTTCTTTGGGATACGTCCTTTTGTCTTTGTGTTCCTTTGTCAAGATTCTCTTAACGTTCTTTGGATCGCGTAGTAGTTTAATTCCATTGTCCAAAGCTGTGTGGATTGTGAATTTCCTGATCAGCATTCACAAACACCTACTGTGCTCGGACCGTAATTTCTCTAAACGAGGTGCCTGATGACACTGGCTTTGGCACTTAGAGGCTGGAATTCCTGCTACCGACTGACTCTTGAGATTTCCTGACCTTGAGCACTAAAATATTTCTGATCTCACCTTCTAGTCTAACACATGTGAGTTGTTGTAGAGTCGAGTGGATCAATATGGGTAGTGTAAATTTTACAGCCCTCTACACAATGGCTATTCTTAGGAAGGCATTTGTGTATCTTCACTACAGTATTCCTTTTACGATGACTCTAGAAGAGGAATACTCTCAGATACTGCCTTCTTGGGTACAAGAGATAGTTGAGGAATAATGTTAGGAAACTCCCAGCTAAAATAATGTGGTTTTAGATATTAAACAGACACTGTTGTTATTAATAACCATCTTTCACATGTGCCTACTTCCTAAATTTTGAACAATGGCTGTTTGAAGTTTGTGCTCCCTGCAGGGTTAGCCTAGGGAAGGAATGCGCCATCTGTGGGGTGTTTCTGGTGGCAGAACAGGCTTGGGAGGCTGCAAAACATGAAGCAGTGTACACAATACCTGGTCTCAGGGTGCTCAGCTCAGCTCCCAATCCATGCAGCGTCAGAAAGACACTGCATTGGAGCAGAGGCCTGGGATCCAGACATCTTTTCTGCAACTTCACTTTAGCCCACTCAAAAATCCACAGGAGCTGGCACCACGGGCACAGAGGCCAGGAGTCACAGATCACACTGTTCCTTTTAAGGATAGTAAAGACACTTGTCTGTCTGTGTTGGGCTCCTGGGGAATGAGATTTTGCAGCCCTCTCTGGAGCAGAATCTCCCTGCTGGTTACACGTCTGCTTGCTCATAGAACAGCAGCAAGAGATGAAAATGTCATTGCAGCAGATAGAATGTGGCTTTCTGTGAGCCGTACTCAGAGTGGGCTAGTGCGTGTTTTAATATCCCATTTGAGAAAAGGAAATCTAAAGATTTCAAACCCCCCTTCGTCTGGATTCTTTTCATTATGTCTTTACTCCTGTAGAAAGGCAGGAAATCCTCTGTAGTTAACACTAGAGAAACGATTCCATATATATGTATAGAATATATATATATATATATATATGCACACACACATATATGTGTGTGTATTAATTACCTTTATACATGCAATCACATACATCATTTAGCTTGTAAAGTGAATGTTCCAATATAAATACAGTTCTCACCAGTCCAGTCGAGGATATTGTACACATTATAATCAACAGATAATAACCCACTTCTTTGTCTCATAAATGTCTTGTCTCTCTGTTTGTCTCCTTAATGTCTTTCTTCAGACTCTCCTCCTTCTCCCATCCTTTTCCCACAGTGTATCTGGTATCTATAACCATTTTCTATCTTTCTATATCCTCTAGTCATTCAGTTTTGGCCATAGAGTGTGAATAGTCAGTATATATTAAGTGGAGATATATAATGTCTCTCCTTAGCCTGGCTTGCTTCACTCTGCAGTAAATCTTCCATATTTGCCCACTTTTTATCAAAAGCCAGGGTTTTTTTGTTTCGTTTTGTTTTGTTTTGTTTTGTTTTGTTTATGGCTGGGAGGTATTTTGTTCTTCTGTTTATGGGCATTCAGGTTGGTTCTATGTCTTAGTAATTGTGAATAGTGCTGCAATAAACATAGATGTGCAAGCACTTTTCTGACTAAGCATTCTTCTGTCCTTTGGGTAGATACCCAGGAGTGGGACTGGAGGGGCATATGGCAGTTCTACTTGTAGGTTCTTGAGTATCTCCATATTGTTCTCTACAGTGGCTGGGCCAATTTCCATTCCCACCAGCAGTGGAGGAGAGTTCCCCTTTCACCACACCCCCGTCAGCACTTATCATTTTTTGTTTTCTTAATCTTAGTCATTCTGACTGGGGAGAGGTGGTACCTCCTCATTGTGGTTTTGATCTGCATCTCCCTTAAAATGAGGGATGCTGAGCATTTTTTCATATGCCTTTTGGCTATTCAGAGAGTTGTTTATTCAGCTCATTTTCTCGTCTTTTTAATTTGGTTCATCCTTTTGTTTTTTTAGTAAACCACTTGAGTTCATTATGTATTCTGGTTATTGGTCCCTTATCTGACACATAGTTTACAAAAATATACTCCCATTCAGAGGGCTGTCCATTCACACTAATTACTGTGCCTATTGCCATGCAGAAACTTCTTAATCTGATGTAATCCCACTTGTCTATTTCTGGGATTACTGACTGTGCTCTGGGGGTCTTATTTAAGAACTCTTTGCCTACCCCTAATGTCTCTCAGAGTTTCCCCAGTGTTTTACAGCAGTAGTTTTATAGTTTGAAGTCTTAGGTTTAGATCTTTGATCTACTTCAAGTTGATTTTGTCAATGGTAAAATGTAGGGGTTCAGACTCATCTTTTTGCAGGTGGATTTCCAGTTTTTCCAGAACCATTTACTAAAGATATTTTTCTTTTCTCAGTGGATTGACTGGTATCCCTTGTCAAAAATCAGCTGACTGTATGTTTGGGAGTTTATTTCTGGGTCTTTTCTGTTCCATTGGTCCACCTGTCCATTCTTGTGCCAATACCATGCTGTTTTGATTATCACAGTTTTATAGTATATTATGGGGTCAGGGAGTGAGATGCCACCCACTCCACTCTTCTTGCACAGGACTGATGTTTAAAAAAATGAATATCTTCATGACTGAATTTTTTGTTGTCATTTTGATTAATTACAGGGAAAGATGATGGGGGTATTTTGACAAAAGCAATTTAAATGTCTAGATATGTCGCTAAAGAAGTACATTGAACAGGAATTGGATAACAATCATATACCAACTTCTTTACCAAGTATACTTTCAATAGTAGAAATCAGCATTTATTTCATTATTGGAAAATCAATTTTATGAATAAATTTTGAATTATTTAAGAAGAGAACATATTGGGGCCAGCAGGCGGCTTGGTGATTAAGATACTAGAATCCCACGTGGCCAAACACAGTTTGAGTTCCAGACTCAACATCTTGAAAATTATACCAGTTACATGTGTGTGCATGCCCAGAATCCTGAGAGGAGAATAGAGGAGAAGGGACTGCCGTGTGGTCATCTTCCTTGGCGGGTGATTTTTAACCTCCCTTCTCTCTCTTTCTCTCTTTGGCAAGTACATATGCCCTATGGCAAAATCCTACCAAAAAGAGAGAGAGAGAGAGAGAGAGAGAGAGAGAAATTGAACTTATCCAAATTATCTGTGTTTTTCAGAATCATGTGTACATTTTTTATATTCTTGATTATCTGTTTTCTTTCTTTTTTTTTTTTTTTTTGAGAAGTTTTTGCTATAGGGCGTGTGCGCTCGCCAGAAAAGCAAAGAGAGAAAGAGAAACAGAAAGTGAGAAATCACCTCCCAGAGGGAATGGCCATGCCACAATCCTTTCTCTTCCATTCTCCCCTCAGGATCTTGGGCACACACGCACACATGCCCGGTGTGAGTTTAAGCCACCAGGTCCAGGACTCAAACCACAGTTGACTACATGGGAGTCCCGCAACATAGCCATTACGTTAACTACTGGTCCCCAATTAACCATTTTCAATGACAGTGCACAATGCTTAAAATGTTTAGCAATGATAAGTTGATACAGTTTTGCAAATTTATTTTTCACATTTGTCACTGTGCCAACTGTTCTTTGCTCCAACTCTGAGAATAAAGCTGTGTATCATTTCTACTGTTCAGATGAGACAATGGCAGCTAAGCTTTTTTGATATCCTGCTTAAGACCTCAGCGCTCCTGTGGCCTG